CATAGGCTCTAACGATAATGGGCCTTTATGTTGTTGGGACACCCAGGCTGTTGCTGTTGTATCAAGTTGACCGGGTAATGAAACTTGAGATTGAGTTGGTTTAGGCGATGATGGTACAGGTGGCAGTTGTGTAATATTTTCTGATGACATTGCTGGATCTTCCATAGGCTCTAATGATGATGGATCCTTCTTCTCCTCTTGTTGCTGGGGTACCATTCCTATTGTATCAAGTTGACCTGGTGATGAAACTTGAGACTGAGTTGGTTTAGGCGATGATGGTGGTGGCTGTGGTGGATTTTTTGGAGAAGAATATTGTGAAGGTAATGTAGGAGGAGTTGATCCTATAGTTGACAAAAGAGCAAAAATTAGCTTCAGTAGCTTTGAAATTAAAATTCATAATTTCCCAGGAGTATAATAAAGATTATTCATTCATTTAACATTATTTGTTGTATCTGTACATGGTATACTGAATTATGAATTATGATATAGTCTTAATAATCAATTATTGAGTATATTTATACACTCACCAGTAGCAGTACTGTGTACATCATTGGTTCCTTTGATATCATTACCACTGATCATAGCATTACGTTCTATAGAATACACACACACAGTCAATACTAATACAATTAGTGATATTAACTTACTCTCTTGATCTAACTTGTCAGCTGCAGCATTCTCATTCATAGATTTAAGAGCATCTGACAGTGAGTCAAAGGTAGCTCCTCCTTTACTCTCAACATTATCAGCTCTGGACAACCACTGGGAGAGAGTCTCTGTCAAGCATCGATATACATCACCAGGATGATTCCTTTCAATGGCGTCCAGTGTGTTCTTGTGTAGTCCTAGTCTCAGTCCCAGCTCATGCCATCTTGTCTGAGGGAAACCACATCTCTTTAACAGATCAAGTACATCAATAAGTTGATCTATAAAACATAATATATAAATATACTAAAGACTACAGTTAATGGATTATTACTAATAGTCAATGGAGAAGTGAAGAGAGAAGGAGAAGGAAAGCTGCTGTTGCTTTTGGTAGCCATTGCGTCTGCAAGAAGATCAGGGTGGGGCTGGTTAATAATAAAACAAGGTGTGGCAAATGACGTCATTATAAACTAATCAAAATGGCGGCCGTTAGGGTAGAGCTAACTTGTGATACATATCTTTGCTGTCTCACTCACGCCATGTCCACTGAAAGAGAAGAAGTGATGGGTCTATTACTAGGAGAAGTGAGAGGAAGATCCTCCATTATTATTAGTATAGTCTGTCCGTATGTATTGCAGATAATAGAAGAAGGAGAAGTTGCTGTAGTTCAAGTGTTTTCACTGTACATGATGAGGAGACTGGATAAACAACCTGACAGAGTAGAGATATCTCCAGAGTAGCTGTCATCAGGAGCCATTGAAGCTGAGGCCTTGAGTGAGAGGATGAGTAGAACAGTACAAGTGGTGGGTTGGTATCACAGTCATCCTCATATTACTGTATGGCCTTCACATGTAGGTATGGTAGGAGGGGCAAGGGGCGGGGCTAATAGTAGTAATGTATAATAGTGTTTGATTGGTTTTATGGATTTATTATTGTCTAAACATAATGTGTACTGGTAAAATAATTCAAGTTTTTCAGTCAGCGAAAAGTGTGTTCATTATTATTTGGCTTAAGATACAGTACAGGGTATTTCATCAGAAATAAAAAGTAAAGAATTTTCCATTTTTATTAGATTTTCTGATGCCTATAAATGTTCTTACATTGCATAGAAAGTTTGAGCTAAATCCGATCAAAATTGCATTTTTTACAAATTTTAAAAGTTACTCTAAAATCGGGCAAAAGTCCCTGTACTCAGTATCACGGGCCAAATTTTGCCAAAAATGAAAGTTAAGAATTCTCAATTTTTATTACATTTCCTGATGCATACAAATGTTCTTATGTTGTGTAGAAAGTTTGAGCTGATTCCGATCAAAATTGCAGTTTTTATGACCTGGGGGCGTAGCGCCCAGGTCGTCCTATAATTGATTCACCCACGTGTGATATATATTTGATTGTATGTCCACACTTACATTTCTTCTATACATGTTGTATTGGAGAAATAACAAGCCTTAGCAACCACCCGCCCACGCTACGTAAGTGGGTGTGGTCACTGCAAGCAAAATGGTGGTTTGCACATGGGACAAAGTTATGAGCTTTCTAACAGTGAAAGAACATAGAGATACTGTCTAAAGTCTTTTCTGGTAGCAGTAGAAGGTAGAGAGAACCTTCATAAGTCTTAATAAGATCCTAGCTGTACTTGCAAGGTGGTGAAACAATTATAGGAATATTTTTACACTGTTACGCTTGTTTATAAATTTTTTAATTTACTCCGAAATTGGGCAAAAGTCCCTGTACTATAGTACAGGGTCACTGTCCAAATTTTGCCAAAAATGAAAAGTTGAGAATTCTCAATTTTTATTACATTTCCTGATGCATATTAGAGCTGGGCGATAGTGATAAAATTACTATCACGATATTTGCCTTAATTACTATCCCGATAGTGAAACTATCACAATATAATAGCTTTTATGTGTTTAGTTTATTAATTTTAAATTAAAATGATACAACTCAACAATGCAATAAATGTAGCATATTGTTATGTACACGCTTGATGTGTTGCTTGATGTGTTGTTTAACTAGTAAGCATAACCATTGTTCATTTACAACATGGCCTGCTTCACTGAACCCTTGTATAAAGCTCTACCAAATATCACTCAAATTTTGCTACACCATTGCCATGACTATAACACTTAATTGCTAAAGATGTGGTTATAGCACAGAGCATGCCTAGACTGGCTGGCTAGATCCACTATCACGATAGCTTAAATACTATCACGATAGTGAATATATTCGAAACTATTGCCCAGCTCTAATACATATACATGTTCTTATGTTGTGTAGAAAGTTTGAGCTGATTCTGATAAAAATTGGATTTTTTACGAATTTTTAAAGTTGCTAAAGAACCAGCCCAAAAACCCTGTATAATATGTATTGATCTACTACATTTACATGTACATGTATTTATTATTATTATTATTATTACATGTATACATGTACATTTCATGTTTTCAGATGTTCGTACTCAGGCTAATTACCAGTTGATGGGTCGTCATTTTGTTGGTCTCATTTTCTCTTGTTTTGAAGAAATTGATAAAGTAAGTAACCACACCCACTTTAATTAACCACCATTGCCTCCGCCCACACACAGAAATGCTCCACTAAAGTTATCTGTTTTCAATCAATTCCCAAAACTAAACGATCCTTTAAAGTAAGCCCTGCCCTTAATAATAGACCACGCCCATTTCTCCACCCACTAGTTATGAACATGTTACATTAGAGTGTAAGGTGGTCCCTACAGTACAGGGGACTGTGAGTCCTATGGCTTCATCTGGTCTCATTAGATTATTAAATATATTAATTGAAGAAGAGAAACATTCTTATGAGAGCAACCAGAAGTAGGTTTTATGATTATTATACTGTACAAGAAGTACTCTCTCTCTCTCTTTCCCTCTCCCTCCCTCCCTCCCTCCCTCCCCCCCTCTCCCTCCCTAGGCTGATGTATGGTCGCTAGGTATCACAGCTATTGAACTAGCACAAGGCCAGCCTCCTCATGCTGATCTTCATCCCATGAGAGTTTTATTCCTAATACCGAAACCAGAGCTCCTCGGGAATTATTCTAAAAGTTTTAAAGAGTTCATCGCCCTCTGCTTGAATAAAGACCCAAAAAACGTAAATGAAAAATGAAACCTTTCCATACTGTACATGTACACATGTATATGTGTTGTGTACATGTTAATGTACTACAGTCTACATGTACTAATTTGAACAATTTTGGCAGTCTACAACATGTGAAAGGTTTAGCAATTACAATGCAATGTACACTACTAGCAAAATTTGCTTAATTCCGTCCCACCTACACATGTACGCATGTACATGTTAATATACATGTACATATACATACACATACTTTCTAAATTTACATGTATAGCCAACAAACTTAAAATTATTTTTATTTACATGTACATTATTTCCAGAGACCTAGTGCTCGTGAGTTGTTACGTCACAAGTTCATAAAACACGCTAAGAAGACCTCCTGTCTGGTTGACCTGATCGACCGGTACAAGAGGTGGAAGGCATCAGGAGAGAACAGTGACTCAGACTCTGAAGACACCAGCAGATCAAAGTATGTAAATGATTCATACTGATCAGTTATTGATTGATACTGATCAATGATTGTTTGATACTTGGTTGTCTCTGATCAAATTACTATTCATTAATTTTTAACTATTTTAACCATTGGTCTACTTTTGTTAACTTAACGGACGTACATGTACACTGTACATGTAAATATGGTTGTTAATATGCATTGGGTACCTAATACATGTACATGTACAGTGATTGTAAAAATTGGTAAAGTTAATGGACATTAATATGTTGTACCCACCATTGCAAAAATGTTACAGTATTTGATTTGAATTGACCAGTGATTGGTTGATACTGATCAGTGGTTGATCAAATTTGATTGATACTGATCAGAGATTGATTCACATTATCATGATTCATTCCCATTAGGGTACACAGAGGTGATGATGAAGCCACTGATCCTCCTGATTGGAAGTTTGATACAGTAAGAGAGACCTCAGCTTCAGAGGCTCCTAGACTCTTCAATAAAGAGGAGACCAGTCCAGTTCCAGTACCAGTACCAACTCCTCCTGCTCCTGTTAGTAATGGACCTATTAATGGATTATCAACCAATCTCACTAGCAACGTAATTAATAATAATAATGATGATGATGATAATAATAATAATAATAATAATAATAATAACAACAATAATAATAATAGTAATGCATGTGTACATACATGTACATAAAAGTTGCTCCAAAATCAGGCCAAAGTTCCTGTACTACATGTATATACAGTACACGGTATTGGACCAAATTTTGTGACAATGGAACTAATGGGTTTTTGCTTGTCATGGATTTTGTGACAATGGAATCAATGGGTTTTCGCTTGTCAAAATTTTAGAGTA